TTATTGTTTGACTTGCATCCCACTGGGATTTTTTGCACACAGCGTTGATGTACGGTGCTTTTTCTGGAAGACTTTTCCTGTTTTTTCCTGGATTTTCTGTTGCGTGTAAGTCACTTTAAGATGTTTTCTTGTTCATGTTTTTGTTTGTTGCGGTTGCACCTGAGTCAATAGCCGCGTGGCTCACAGGGCTATTACCTAACAAATGAAACTGAAAACTGAAACGTGGCCTCAAGGTGCCCCGAGCCTGGCACAATCACCGTGGTGACGCCACTTATAGGGGGCTAACGGCGGTTGTTTGCTGTTCCGTGTGAGCGCTGGGCGCGGGTTTCCTCCTTAACAGAACAAAAAGGCGACACAATGTAACTGGTATTGACCAACATCCCAGACGCGATCTGGCTACAAACGATAGCTCAGCGAAATGGCTTATCACGTGGAAATGTAAAACAGCCAAATACTCTACAACACATGCTGATGATAAACGTGGAGGGGGAAACCCGGTGGACCAGGAGAAAAATCCACGAAGCAGACGGACACATATGATGTGAATATCGGTAGGAACATTCCCGCAGTATTAACCAGGGCGGTCACTGGATTCGAACCTGTGACCCTCTGCAACAACCGGCGAACACCCTATCGCTCGCCGCGTGGTGGCATTGTTGCACGGGCCGGGTGCGGTTTCCATTTGCACGACTGGCTACGTACGGTGCGAAAGAAGTTCAAGATACGGTACATACATGCACGTGACCACGTTATGTCTGCGTTGGAAAATTGTCAACACAGCCGATGCCAGGTGTCTCTGACACGGGTTATACGTCACTTAAAAGGGCCATCACGTGACGAGAGACTAAAGGCTTGTTTTGCAACTTTTATATTCCCACGACGCAGCAAGATTACAATCAGCCCTGATCCACTGCGGGATGACGTCCACCCTACGCCGACGCTATTCCTCGCGGTCCTGCGATGCCCCAAGCCACGTGGCTCCTGCACATGATTAACTGAACAAAGCGCTCCGTCTTCCCCTCGAACGCGTTCGCTCATTTGGCTGCCATTCTGTAGCGTCGGATCGCGTATACACACACACACCGTCGGTATCCACTTACCTGCCGTTCGCCTCTATTCACTTACCTGCAGTTGCAGTCAGAGGTCGGTAGGGTGTGCCGGCCAGTACGAGGGGATAGAGAGGGAGCCGGACCCAAGGGAGGATGGGTTCCCCTCCCCTACCCCAGGTTGGGGGGGGGGCTGGGAGGGGGCCCTTCCAGGATCTTCTGGAAGGTTTCAGAAAGGGGGCGGTACCAGGGGCGGAGGGTCCCCTGGAGGTGTATAAAAGGGGCACCCCAAGTACAGCTCTGGGCAGTGCTACGAAGACTGAAGAGCAGCGAGACTAGGACCCTGGGACCTCGAGCCCGCTGCCCTTGTAAGGGCCGGGTCGAGCTTGGACCAGCGGTCGAGACCCGTCCCTTGGCTGGGTCGGGTCAGGATAGCCTCCCTAGTCAGGACCCTGGAACCTCGATACCGACGTCCTTCTAAGGGCCGGGTCGAGCTGGGACCAGCGGTGGAGACCCGTACCCTGGCTGGGTCGGGTCAGGATAGCCTCCCCTAGGACCACGATAGCCGGATGGCTAAGAGCTGAGCTGACAGTGTGTGAGTCACGATCGCTCGGACGCTGTACCTCCCCAGATAGGGGACGTTAAGGAAGTTCTGTGTTAGTTTTATAATAAACCGTGTTGCCTCTACGACGTCTCCATCTCCATAAGAACTCACTACAATTCAATCAGTTATCGTCTATTGCCCTGTCCAAGCAAACGTTTCCAAGCAGTGAATGTATGATGTCTGTGCGTTTGTGCCTCGTTCCGTATGTTCCGGGCAGTGGCGATGCACGCCGATAGTCCAGCACTGCGGAGGCGAGGGTTGGTGGGTCCCACAAATGTTGTGAAACTCCCACGCCATGGGCATCCAGGAGACATAACCATGGCTTGCCATGAGAAGGCGGTACGGAAAAACGTGGGCTAATCCCCCATCCGTTTTTACACGCTTTTATTTAACTCACTCCGTCTCTTGTTGTTGTAGCCTCAAATCTTTTAACTCAATTTTAACCCACTTGCCAATGTGGTATCGACTGAAAACTTGGTATACTTATGTCATACTGATGACCATACTATATTCTATCATGAAAAATATATATTTTTAAAAACTTTTATACGTAATGTTTCGGCTTGGGTCTAATTGTCCACGCTCAACTGACGTTGGCTGTAATTGCCCACGGCCCCCTTACGTTGTGGCAAGCTTCGGGGCCACTTCCTGTAGTCGTGGAGTTCTTCAATTACTAGTACGGTACATTTCATTAAAGCGTGTTTAAAAAAAAAAAGTTCTTAAAAACATTACTTATTACTCTGTACGATGGTGTTCTTCTCGTCCGCACGTAGGGTTTCTCCCGGGTGTGGCAGTTTTCTACCCCGTGCATCAACACTCCGTAATGGCTGGAAACATCTTAATATGTAGAGGACCGCAGAGTTTAGCCAATTGTTGGCACCAGGCTCGCCGCCTGGCTGCCGCCTCGCTTTGTCTGCGATTCCTGGCGCCTCCCGAGTCTTCGAGAGGGGTGGGGGGAGGGGCATAAACTGTGCACCCTGCTGTGTACAAGGTGGTTCATAATAGTTCATAAGTTCATAATACACCACACATGCCGTGTCGGTGTAATTCGAGGTATGCATGCAGGCAGACATGCATAGACCAATGCCTCATTACTAACGATACATGCATAGGGTTAACATAAACACTGTATGTAGGCTTACAATAGCATAACTCAACTTCATTGCTACCCCAATAAATTAAAATTAGGTAAAGGCGCAGTCCTCCAAATGTCTTGCTTGTGCCACTGCCAGCGGAAGGAGCCTCCAGAGGAGACAGCTCTTGAGAACCCCTCCGAGGAGGGGCGGGACTTTGGCCTACTCTTCCACACTGGGAGTCGTCTTACAAGAGATGGGAGTACCAAAGCTTGACCTCGCCACACGCGATCTGCCGATAGGCTGTGGTGTAACCATTTCTATCGCTGGGTTGACCAGACAGCGGGTGGGGGGGGTAATTTCAAAGATAAATGCATTCCTGCGGGTGCTGGTAGGAACGTTGGGTTGCTCGGTCAATGGCCAGGGTCAATGGCGGCACCACGTGGTGTATTCCGCAAATATGCCTGACTGTGAGGGCGGGCACAAGCCGGAGTAGGTTAAACGTTGAGTTTTATAAGGGCACCACGGGGTGACCAGCCCCTCCCCACCCAGCCTCTCCTCACCCAGCCCCACCCTCCCCTCCCCACCCAGCCCCTCCCCACCCTCCCCTCTCCATCCAGCCGCACCCCTCCCATTTTTGGATTCACGACGGACGGACGGACACAATAATCCCCAGGAGGTTCTTACCAGTAAAATCTTGCATCGTTGTTTCAACTGCCGAGCAGAGAGATCGAACCAAATGCAGTGTGCCAGCATGCCCGCAAACCTAACCCAATGCAGTTACTTTATTTCGCCTGCTCACATCCAATACACTTGACAGGGATTCACATTGACAACATAAGATTGTCCATTGCAACAATCAAGTAAAAACAAGTACAGGTAACGCAACGCACTTGGTAAGTTCGGTACGCGACAGGCATCAACGGTGTTTTATTGTGTGCAAAGAAGTTGAACATTCAAAGTTCACGTATGCGAGATCCGGTGTTTATACGAAAGCACGTGGAGGAATTCAAAGCTAAACAGGATATTGGAATAATATACATTACAAACTAATTTTAAGAAACGGATTCCATCCTTTATGATACCTCCTTTGCCAGGAACAAGATATAGTAATAGGTTTTACCCTTTTAACTTGCACAAAAAACTTGACACCTTTATTCAAGGCATCATGTTTGCAATAACCACAACACAAGCAGTCAAAATGCAAACAAAAGAGACAGCCCTTAAAAGGGTAAAACCTATTACTATATCTTGTTACTGGCAAAGGTCTCATAATGTAAATGCTCACCCCGAGCCCTCAATACTCTGATAGTGCGCTGTTTTTGAGTTGTACGCCTTTTGGCGTCTTCTGGTCCAACACCAGTGGGAGACTAGGCTCTAAGAAAAGCCGTCTCGGGTGTGGACCAATCAAATTCAAGGACAGTGCATATTATTATCAGAGTTGTCTCTTATGTTTGCATTTGACTGCTTGTGTTGTGGTTATTGCAAACATGATGCCTTGAATAAAGGTGTCAGTTTTTGTGCCAGTTAAAAGGGTAAAACCTATTACTGGATTCCATCCTTTTAACCGCAACCCCCCCCCCCCCCAATTTCACCATGAATAGATAAGAGGGCCCCCCCCCCACTACTGTTTAATATTTCATTAGCATAGTGGTTAACGTATTTAAAACCAAGGCAGTAGAGTCTTCAGGTGGTCAAAAAACACCCACGTCAACAGAAGTCCACAAGTCCACTTTGTAATGTAACCGAGTGGTGAAGAGATCAACCTTCTGACAAGTCGCTTTCAAGTGGCATCATTAGCAAGGGCACCGCAGTGGCACGCCTTGCACCAAGTCAAACGTGACAATAACTCGACATGAAGTACATATTACCTGCAATGATGTATGGACCAGAAACAAGGTCAATAAAATGGGGCAAAAACTCCATGGGATAAAAACTGTTTAGTGCACATGAGAAGCATGGGGAGGTGCATGGTTGCAATCACGCCGAGAGAGACAGAGGAACACACGAACAGGATACAAATCTACGTCTCATGAAGCCAAGCGGATCGCTATGTCCATGCATTTTCAAAAAAGAGTGATCATACTCCGCCATCGGACGATTCCGCAAAAGCAAACGGGCTGGATAGCAAGTTAAATTTACACTCCACGTATTCTTGGTTCTTTCGGTAAAGTCACCATGTAGAAGGGATACAATAAAATAATAAAAAATAATAAAAATAAAAAATAATAAAAATAAAAATATATTGTTTTATATTTTTATTATTTTATTGTTTCCCTTCTACGTGGTGACTTTACCGAAAGAACCAAGAATACGAATCCCTGCAGTCACGAAAGCTTTAAATCAAAAATTTACACTCCACGTGTTGATATTAAATGCGTGACACCGATTCTAATTCATGTTGTCTCGGTTTTGCATTGTAGCACAACTCTCAAACACACACGCTCCAATAAACCGCCAAGTTCTATCATTTCGCAAATTTACCGTAGCTCACGAATCCTCCCAACATCTGCGGGACACGTTGATCCAGAAATCGTCCGTGAATCGCGGGTTTCTGGATCTCTTCCGATGAGGGCTGCCAATTCACCCCCCCCGCCCCCCACACATCATTGTTAAGCGCTTCGCATTGCCAAGGGGTCGTTGGCTTCCATCCAATCCATCCAAATTCGCACTGTGAAGGGTTTGAATAGCCTAGCTGCAGGTAAAATCGCGGAGCTGAAGATAGCAAGAGGCGAAAATAATTTGCCATTGTTTGACAAGGTAGGGAAGATGGTGAATTAAGTTACAAAAACAATTTTAATAAATGGTTAAAACCGGTAGTATCTTACGCAAAGTGCTTGAATAATAATTGCATGGACATAGATAAATGGACAGAAGGCCATAATCGCTGACATCTTTCAGAGAAAGGACATGGCACAGAGAAAGACTTGGATACCGAGTCTCAAAAATGCAAAAACATCCTTCAGCATTGGGCGATGTGTCAGAATTGGCTCAATTTGGGTCTTGAAAAAAAAAGTATGACCTCGAAATCCGCAAATTCATATGTGGATTCATGGAGTAACTAATCAGGTGATGGATTAACGGAGTCACGTGGCTAATTACTCCTGTAGTCCACGGCTCACTGCAGTGGCGCCTATTTTTTTTTAAGATTCCCAGAATAACCTTTGTGGTGGCGTGCCGTGGATTACAGGATGCGCGGTGATACGGTCGCCCCGCACCAAATCGGATAATTGGAATGTTGCTGTATTCATTTCTTAGAACATATAATCATTAAGTACTATTTTGTCCAGTGTAAACACAAATACTGTACACGCATCGTAAAAATTACACAAGTACTTTGAAACTCCGCACATCAACAACCAGGAAATTATGAAACATTAACAAAATATATGTACGTGTAATATATACATAATTTAAAAAAGGTAATGCAAAAATTGGTTGTTTCCAATGTTTACAACATGTCTTAACCTCAGCAGGCCAATATTATAATATGTACGACGTTTGGGCCAACGGGCCTTTCTTATTCGGTTTGATTAATTTTGAATGATCCATGAGAGTTAAATTACCCAACATTTCTGCTGATCCAGTTTTAAAAAGAGCAATGAGACGTGGAGACATCATTGATAGACAAGGAGACAAAATCGGCATTGTGACGAAGACTCATAATGTAGCATTTGTACAAGAGTGGGAGACATAACCCTAAACTTGTACTGTCAGTTCAAAAGTGTCAGTGATGGCAAAAAAATGTTAAATAAAAAATAAAGCAGGAACGACTTTAGAAGCTATGATTGAAGGCCGAACCCGTTGACAATGTAATCGTCTTCCACGTCGTCACACATGACTTCAACAGTGCTGCAGATGTTCACTTCTTTAATCACATCTTTCTCAGAGATGAGTAGAAACGTTCCATTCTGCAAGCAACACACCACAGCTGATGCTCATGTCAAGAGTAACGAGGCCAGACACTAATGGTGGTAACAGAAACAACCTTTTACCCGTGGCACACAATGGGGAAGGGGGTAGATTCAAGGAATGTAACATATAGGAAAAACAATGGAAAGTAATCGGTAAAGGAAGGGATGCCATGACAAAAGACCCCAAGACAAAGAGGGCACGGCTCAAGAAGGGCAGACAAGTGAAAAGTCCCCTCCAAGCTCTGCAGTCCTCTATATAATGTAAAACATTTTTTTATTTTACCAGCTAAGGCCCACAGAGCTGTAGAGCGCTTTTTCAGAAGCGACCTGGCCACAAATGATAGCTCAACGAAGTAAGTGGATAATCACGTGGACATTTATTGCAGGCAAAAAATATTCTAACTATATTTTGGGGTTACTCTTTGTTTTTTTTCGGTAAAGTCACGTAGAAATAATAAAAATAAAATAAAATTATTTAATAGCATACGACGTTTCGATCGCAACACAAGCAATCATCATCAGGCAGAGGAAACACATAACCGCAGATATATATACACACAGACCTTAAGTGGGGGGAATTAACACAGATATACCAGGGGACACAGAGAGAGAGACGGAACATCACACTAAATCAAACAGGGTTTAGCAAAATTTGGAGACTATATAAAGCAACACAAACGGTCGGTTAAAACACAATTAACGCGTGGTTAATTAATTAACGCGTGGTTAATTGTGTGGGAAGAAACCGGAGCACCTGGAGAATACAGACGCAAACAATGCCAAGGTGGAAGCGTCGACAGATGTTACTGCAATCCATCGTATTTTTGGTGAAATGTGGCAAATGTTAACGGGTAGACGAAACCAAACGACACTCTTACCTATTCTTGGGTCTTTCGGTAAAGTCACGTAAATGAATAAACCGTTTGAAAATTAATAAATTAATGCGGACCGACACTTCTTTCAAATGTTTCTTACCGTTGGTTTTTTCACACCTGATGACGACCGCTTGTGTTATGGTCGAAACGTCGTGAGAATTTTTGTTATTGTTTTATATATATTTTATTATCGTATTGTTTCCCTTCAACGTGACTTTACCGAAAGAGCTAAGAATATGAATTACTGCAGTGACGAAAGCTTTAAATCAAAATGTCACGTAGATAGGTTAAAAGAATATTTAAAAAAATAACAAAAACTACGGCGTTTCGATCACAACGCAAGCGGTCGTCTTTTTTTTTTTGCTGAAGACGACCGGCTTTGTGTTGCGATCGAAACGTCGTAGTTTTTTTTGTTATTTTCTTTGAACCTATCTACGTGGCTTTGCCGAAAGACCCAAGAATATGAATTCCTGCAGCCGCGAAAGCTTCAAGTCAAGATTTCACACTCTTACCTGTTTGGAAGGAATGCCCAGGAGAGTTTTAGGAAGTGGCATATCTACTGCAAAGATGTAGCGAGCCATTTTGAAGATTTTGTGTCCCAGTAGCAACAGCGTGAACACGACGGCAAATGAAACGATCACCGAGATCAGGAAGGTGGTGAAAACCACCCACTTGGACGCTGCCCAGAGACAAACACAAATCACGTGCAAATACAGGAACAAAAAGCACTCGGCATTTGTGCATCATGCAAAAACCATCAGCAGATCCTGATGAAGTGCACGGTGGTCCTCTTGGCTCAGGTCACCATCAAAATAAATTTGAGCGTATGTGGCCTGACTGACCGGCAGAATTTAGATGGAGACCGGAAACAGTAGACCAGTTTCGTCCATATTAGGACTCATCGGTATGCTCTTGAGTGTTGCACAAAATCCTCACACGAGGCTGGGTCCAAAGTTGCCACATCACAGGCGACAACCACTGCATGTCACGTGCTTTTAGCTATAGTACTCCGGACATAGGCATACGTGCGTTAAGAGTTGCCACAACATGACAATATAACGTGGCGAAAAATGTTATCCCCCCGTGTTCAATCCCGACCATGACGCCTGTAAATCTGGAGTTCACGTGTTGTCTCTCCCAGTGGTCACGTTTATTTTTCTCCAGATTCCTCTGAGTTTTTCCCTGAACATTTAGAAGTATGCATCAATATTATTTGGTTGATAACATAATTTCCCACATGATGATATCAGCCATTTCAATTAGCTATCATGCGTGATCAGGTCACCTCTAAAAAAAAATAGCTAAAAGCTCAGCGGACTTTACCTGGTAAATAAAATAGGGGGAAGAATCTATAGTTTTAAGGTTTTTAAAAAAAAAAGACACCGTCATATGTGATCATTGTTGCTCATTTAATACTTTCTAAATTATATTTGTAACATAACCTGATGAAAATGTTATGAAATAAGAAACTCCGTCATTCGAGTTGTTATCCATTACACTGCATTTTGCTAAATGTTTGTTGGAGTGCAATGGCAAATGATACGCCATCGTTTTGGCAGTCCAGTAAATTACGGAAACTATTTTGTGATGCTTCTGCGTTGCCAGTGGTGCTCGAGCACAAATAACAACACCACAAACACTAATTTTATTTTACCAGGTAAGGCCTATTGAGCTTTATCGCTATTTTGCAGAAACCACCTGGCTATCACAAATCATAGCTCAAGGAAGTGGCTTGTCACGTGGTGAAAATTACGGCAGCCCAATACTCTAAACGCACGTTTTCTAAATGTGGAGAGAAAAACCAGAGAAAAATTCACACGACCATGGGGAGACATTCAAACTCCAAATATATAGCCGTCAAGGTCGGGATCGAACCCATGATCTCCTGTATACAAGGCGAAGAGAGTTAATATCTTGCCACCGTGGCAAGATCTAAAAAAAAAAAAATCACATTTGTCAACAATACTGTGGCCTTAAAAGTAAAAATATGTTAATAGGTGACGTTTTGGGCAACAGTCCTAAGATGAAGCATGTGCGATGTAGAAGGGCCATTGACCAAGGCATTGCCTATTATATAGTCACACCTGTCAACCCATACGGTTTACCCGTTTTCTTGTGCAGGGAAATTTTATTTTCAGGTCCATATGGCGTACAGCCGTTTCAATACGGGCAACATGTTTTTCTCTATTTGTTTGTGTTTCTCCCTTGTGATGGGACTTTCTCTGATGAACGTTGAGATTTTTAAGGGCACGGGGTAACCAATGAGTTCTGAATTGGTCTGTAACAAGGCAGGGCACTGATAAGGGGTTGACAGGTGCATGTATAGTTCGCTATTTAAGGCGATACACAGTGTTGCAGACAAATGTGTTCAGCTTTTCGTTAAAACTACTCGATTATTTTGCGTGTAACTTGACAGCGCGTGCGTTTATACGCAATGCGGACTCTAAATGAGGGGTGATAGGCAACCAAAAGGCAGGGCTTTGAAGAGTGAATTGCCGTGGAAGAAACTTGACATAATCTTTATTTGTACCAGACGTACAGCTAAGCGCAATTCATTAAAACCTAAAGCTATGGGAATACAGATATCGCGATCGTCATATGGTGAGATCCAATATCGTATCGCGAAAGATGATATGGCAATGCGAGTGCACGCACACTGGACATGCAACTACACACACAGACGCACCCCTAACACCAAAGTTCTTCACTAACTTTCAGAGGGTTGGAGGGGGGGGGGAGCACTTTCGCCGATAAGACATCAACAGCACGGAGGGCCGCCACACATTTGAAACCATTGTGGGGTTTGACAGCAGCAGCAGCACGACGATGATGATGATGATGGGGGGTGTTGTCACTCTCCGTCTAATGTCGGCGTCCGCACGTCAGGGCCGCAGTAAAGGCCGCGGGCCTTGAAATGAAGACCACTGCCTATCACACATCGGGATAGAGCAATCCCCTACGTTACGGACGCATAGCCATTAATTAGCTTTAATTAACCAGGATGGTGGTTTCCTGTTGTCACTCATTCCCCCTTTTCTTTTTCCCCTATACAGCCCCATCCCACCAAAGAAAATGTCATACCTGTTCCGTTCGTACATGTCCAGACTATTCTGGAAAATTTGTGAACACGTGGGTCTTTCCCCCCCCACCCCCTACTGTGCGAGTGTGACAGCGATAGAATCATTCTTCACCCAGCCCCACCATTTACCCCCCCGCCCCGCCCCTCTCGACCTGACACCCAATTCCCCTCCAGAGTGGAAACTCGAAATTCCGGTCTGCGCTTTTAAGCCTTTTACCTTTCTCCTTTTCGGTTGTGCGGCACACCTGCTGGGACACGGCACTGAACTTGTCCCTGTTATCCACTTCAACTATAATTTGGCCCGTAAAGCAGTACTCGGTGTTGTACTTGATATTTTTGAAGTCCAGGCTGGCGACCTCGGACTGGTAGTACTCGCACTGCTGCTGATGCTCCTGACAGCGACCCACACACAAAAAAAACAGTCACAAGACACTCAAAGACAAAGTGCTGCTAGCGAGCAGCACCTAATGAAGGCCGGCACGGCACACCAGAGGGTGGGTGGGCCAGCAACCACTGCCGACCGCCTTTGTCTCCCCAGTGGCGAATTATTTACACACCGCACCAGGTACTCATTTGAGGCTGAGTTGACCTAGAGGAGGCCCATGACCGGTGCAGATAATCGCCACTGGTGTTGGCCGCGAACAGGAATCGAACTCGGTTCGCTAGGTTTGGAGCGCAGCGCGCTAACCGTTACACTATCACTCCCCACACACACGCGCGCGCATGCTATTTAAAAACAACATTGTTCGATAAAGTCACGTTGAAGGGAAACAACAAAATAATAAAATATATATAAAACAATAAAAAATTCTCACGACGTTTCGACCATAACTCAAACGGTCGTCTTCAGGTGTGTTGGTTTGCATAAATTTATTTTTAAACGGCGCTAACGTTTTTTTTTTATAAATAAATAAATGCGCCGTTTAAAAATAAATTTATGCAAACCAACACACCTGAAGACGACCGTTTGAGTTATGGTCGAAACGTCGTGAGAATTTTTTATTGTTTTATATATATTTTATTATTTTGTTGTTTCCCTTCAACGTGACTTTACCGAAAAAACTACTGCAGTCACGAAAGCTTTAAATCAAAACATTGTTCGAGTTTGATCTTGTCAGCAGTGGGTAGCACTCGATGCTCAGAAGTCAAGTGGGGCTTTTAGGCTTTCGCGACCAATATATTTCATGATAAAGGTTTTTTTCTTTGGGGGGTTATATCGTGTAAATATATAAACCTGTCGTCGTTAACCCGGCACCGCCCGACACAGCCAATTAGTAAGGTTTGTCAAGTCAACAAAACATGCCAATTAGTTACTACTTCAGCACACCGGTGTGTTGGGAGAGTAATCCGACAACATTCACAATCTGAGTACGTTTCCCTAGTAGAGTGGTACCTCGGAGATCGAACTTAATTCGTTCCAAAACCGTGTTCGAACACCGAATCAATTTTCCCCATAAGAATGAATGGAAATAGCATTAATTGGTTCCCAACCCAAGGATGCTCCTATTATGGGCCATTTTTACACAAAGTTAACAATATTAAAATACAGTACAGTACATAAAAGCATACAAAACACAAGAAATACAGTTATAATTAATAGAATAAATGAACACTGATACTTCACTTTACCTGTAGTAACGAGAGTGGATGGTTTGAGTGGAAGGTGGTGAGGGAAAAGTTAACGTAACGATGTTTTGTGGGTATGCACTGGGCGAGAGCTACACGTAAACTGGGTCATTCGCCTTTGTCTCGGTCGCCCTGGTTACACGTCTCGGTTGCCCTGGTTACGCGTCTCGGTCGCCCTGGTTACGCGTCTCGGTCGCCCTGGTTACGCGTCTCGGTCGCCCTGGTTACGCGTCTCGGTCGCCCTGGTTACGCGTCTCGGTCGCCCTGGCTACGCGTCTCGGTCGCCCTGGTTACGCGTCTCGGTCGCCCTGGTTATGCGTCTCAGTCGCCCTGGTTACGCGTCTCGGTCGCCCTGGTTACGCGTCTCGGTCGCCCTGGTTACGTGTCTCGGTCGCCCTGGATACGCGTCTCGGTCGCCCTGGTTACGCGTCTCGGTCGCCCTGGTTACGCGTCTCGGTCGCCCTGGTTACGCGTCTCGGTCGCCCTGGTTACGCGTCTCAGTCGCCCTGGTTACGCGTCTCGGTCGCCCTGGTTACGCGTCTCGGCCCACGCAGCTTCTTTCAAGTTGTTCGACCTCCGAATTTTTGTTTCGATGTAAGGGGCAAAAAATCGTCGAAAATTTTGTTCGATCACCGAATTGTTCGAGTTCTGGGGCGTTCGATCTCAGAGGTTCTACTGTAATTACAACCAGCTTCATGGGGCAATTTCCCCATATTCCCATTTACATGGCTATCACTCATTCCCCATCCATTCAACCCATTAATCATAATTTACTGTCATCAATTTCGCTTTCACCGATTTCGCATTATGACAGATTCGCCCCCCCGTTGCTTCATCTATTTTATTCACCTCATCACCATTACATTCACAGGTTGGACCATTCCGAATTCTCTGCAAAGTGCCTTGGTCAGGGCACAATATAAATTCCGTTAAGATAAGATGTCTTGTGACCCCCCCCCTCCCCCAAATTAATTGACCCCTAACATTGTTTTCCTTTGCATATTCATTTCTGTTTTAAATCAACCTTCAAAAAAAACATTAGGTTTTTAGATAATTAAATTGGGGTCACATGACATCTGGATCACTCTGTAGAACAACGTAACCTCCAAGATCTGTCCTGACAGTATCCCACCATCTGGCCCAAAGTTTCCTCCGGGTCATCAGACTCGTGGCCACCATGCATCTCCACATCCCAATGCCGTTCAAATATCCCCCCGTAGAAAAGGATGAGGGGACCGTTTACTCACGTGTAAGCCCACACACAACGTAACGTTGTAAAGTACAGAGCTGTACAAGTATTTAATGTCCTCTTCATGTAACTTTGGGGGCGACATCTCCATTTTGATGTTGTTTCCGAAGACGTAGAGGTCAATGTAAGGAGCTTCTATCTGCGCTGTTGGATACAATTCAGCACGGTTATTCAAGCAGAATTTTACTTAGTGTCACACACACGACAATAAGCCAAACATATTTCGATTTAAAGCTTTCGTGACTGCAATGATTCATCTTCTTTGGTTCTTTCGGTAAAGTCACGTAGAATGAGAATAAAATAATAAATTGATAAAATAAAATAACACAATAATATTCTCACGACGTTTCGGCCACAACACAAGCGGCCTTCATCAGGTGAAGGGGGCGAGACTGTCTGGTAGGACAGCGCTGGAGTGAGAGAGCCACGTTCAGATCACGGCTTTTAAGCTGTGTGAGAGGAACAAAGAGCCTTGACAAAGGAATTAGCATAAAATTTAGCATTTAAATGGCTGAATGATTAGCTTGTGACTGGTCACAGAAATAGCTATGTTAAAAGTTAAAGCATACACATCCGCAGAGGCACCCATTGTTAAAAGGAATTAGCATAGAATTTAGCATTGAAATAGCTAAGTTAAGGCATACACATCCGCAGAGGCACCCCTTGACAATGGGATTAGCATAGAATTTAGCATTGAAATGGCTGAGTGATTCGCTTGTAACTGCTACAGAAATAGCTACGTTGAAGTCAGAGCATACACATTCACCGAGGCACTTAGTACAAATCAAACAGGAGAATTTAGCATTGAAATAACTGGGTGATTTGCTAGTGACTGGTCACAGAAATGACTACACATCCGAGCTATTCACAGTACTATATAGTGAACCAATAAAAACTAAAATATAAATTACCTTCATGTTATCAATAAACTCTATATTCTCCAATCAGCTAAGCTACCAACCATAAGTCGTTATATATCACAATGCTATATGGCGAAAAAAATGGGTGGATTCTTACCCTCAAATTTCCGTACCACGGATAGCTACGGGCCCCGTTCAGACGGACGAGTTCGTCCATGGTCGGAACAGAGGAGGGGGAGAGAGACAGCTGCGAAGCCCTAGTATACTTCATGTTGTAAACCATACCATTAACCGTGGTGTGAGAGGTATTAAGAGGCAATGCTGATGAAAGAGCTGCGGTCTGAAGGTCATCGTAAAATTACAATTAATTAAGAACAGAAATGATTTAACACATCTTTCCAGTGGTTACTAAGCCTGAATCCATCTTCTCGGTTGAAATTGTCTCTGTGCTTGTATATGTGAATGGCCTCATGAACGAATCTCTCATGGTAGCCGGTTGGTTTGCAAAGAACCTCCGTCTTGGAGAAGTCAATGTCATGTGAGCCCACTGAATTGTAACAGTGATCTGCCACGGCAGAGGAGTTCGTCTTACCGTGTTTCAAGTCTGCTTTATGTTCGCGGATGCGGTCCGAGATATGTCTTTTGGTTTCTCCAATGTAGCTACTACCACAGAGGCACTTTAGTTTGTAAACACCCGGGTACTGTATGTCTGGAAGAGCATCTTTTACAGATGGAACTAAATCACGGATTTTGTGTACTGTGTTGAATCGGACCTGGATCTTGTGTTTATTCAGGATTTTGGAGATCTTTTTAGTGACCCCTGCAATGTAGGGTAAGGTGATGGTTTTGAGTGGCTCCACAAGAGGATCCTTCTTCATGACTGGAGTGATGGCTTTGCGGATTGTGTAGTCGGAGTAGCCATTAGCCCTGAGAGCCTGGTGTACGTGCTTGAGTTCACTGGTAATGTGTTCCTGGTCGGAAATGCATTGGGCTCTATGGTATAGAGTCTTGATGAGGCAGTTCTTCTGGGATGGATGGTGGTGGGAATCCGGTTTCAAGTAAGCATCTGTATGGGTAGCTTTCCTGTAGACAGAGTGGCTCATTGAACCATCATGTCTCCTTTTAATTAAGACATCCAGAAAGGGTAGTTTGCCATCTTTTTCGACCTCCATGGTAAATCTGATGGCTGGGTGTATGGAATTGATGTGGTCGCGGAATTGGTCTAGAGCAGGCTGGCCATGTGGCCAGATGACAAAGGTGTCATCAACGTACCTCTTCCATAAGGTCGGGCGTAGAGTGGCAGTCTGGATGGCGTCAGTTTCAAATTTTTCCATGAATACGTTGGCTACAACCGGAGATAGGGGGGAGCCCATTGGGGTGCCCTCAGTTTGTTTGTAGAAAGTTCCATTCCAGGTGAAGTATGTGTTGGTTAAGCAATGTCTCACCAGGGGGGGTACATCAGTATGCAGTCCTTGATGAACCAGGTCTTCAATGATAGCGATGGTGTCAGGTACCGGGACTTTGGTGAACAAGGACACCACATCAAAACTGACAAGCAGGTCGTTTGGGGACAGGGAAATGTCTTTGATTGTCGATACCAGGTGAGTAGAATTTAGTACCGCAGAGGTGGTTTTTCCAGTGAAAGGTCGCAGTATATCAGCCAGAAAATTGATGAGATCAAACAGTTCTCGTTGAAACCCTCTGCTGCCAGACCACCAAGATTATATGGCCTTCCAAAGATACACAAAGAAGATACACCCCTTCGTCCCATCGTCTCTACTATCAGCTCCCCCACCTACAAACTGGCACGTTTTCTGGCTGATATACTGCGACCTTTCACTGGAAAAACCACCTCTGCGGTACTAAATTCTACTCACCTGGTATCGACAATCAAAGACATTTCCCTGTCCCCAAACGACCTGCTTGTCAGTTTTGATGTGGTGTCCTTGTTCACCAAAGTCCCGGTACCTGACACCATCGCTATCATTGAAGACCTGGTTCATCAAGGACTGCATACTGATGTACCCCCCCTGGTGAGACATTGCTTAACCAACACATACTTCACCTGGAATGGAACTTTCTACAAACAAACTGAGGGCACCCCAATGGGCTCCCCCCTATCTCCGGTTGTAGCCAACGTATTCATGGAAAAATTTGAAACTGACGCCATCCAGACTGCCACTCTACGCCCGACCTTATGGAAGAGGTACGTTGATGACACCTTTGTCATCTGGCCACATGGCCAGCCTGCTCTAGACCAATTCCGCGACCACATCAATTCCATACACCCAGCCATCAGATTTACCATGGAGGTCGAAAAAGATGGCAAACTACCCTTTCTGGATGTCTTAATTAAAAGGAGACATGATGGTTCAATGAGCCACTCTGTCTACAGGAAAGCTACCCATACAGATGCTTACTTGAAACCGGATTCCCACCACCATCCATCCCAGAAGAACTGCCTCATCAAGACTCTATACCATAGAGCCCAATGCATTTCCGACCAGGAACACATTACCAGTGAACTCAAGCACGTACACCAGGCTCTCAGGGCTAATGGCTACTCCGACTACACAATCCGCAAAGCCATCACTCCAGTCATGAAGAAGGATCCTCTTGTGGAGCCACTCAAAACCATCACCTTACCCTACATTGCAGGGGTCACTAAAAAGATCTCCAAAATCCTGAATAAACACAAGATCCAGGTCCGATTCAACACAGTACACAAAATCCGTGATTTAGTTCCATCTGCAAAAGATGCTCTTCCAGACATACAGTACCCGGGCGTTTACAAACTAAAGTGCCTCTGTGGTAGTAGCTACATTGGAGAAACCAAAAGACATATCTCGGACCGCATCCGCGAACATAAAGCAGACTTGAAACACGGTAAGACGAACTCCTCTGCCGTGGCAGATCACTGTTACAATTCAGTGGGCTCACATGACATTGACTTCTCCAAGACGGAGGTTCTTTGCAAACCAACCGGCTACCATGAGAGATTCGTTCATGAGGCCATTCACATATACAAGCACAGAGACAATTTCAACCGAGAAGATGGATTCAGGCTTAGTAACCACTGGAAAGATGTGTTAAATCATTTCTGTTCTTAATTAATTGTAATTTTACGATGACCTTCAGACCGCAGCTCTTTCGTCAGCATTGCCTCTTAATACCTCTCACACCACGGTTAATGGTATGGTTTACAACATGGAGTATACTAGGGCTTCGCAGCTGTCTCTCTCCCCCTCCTCTGTTCCGACCATGGACGAACTCGTCCGTCTGAACGGGGCCCGTAGCTATCCGTGGTACGGAAATTTGAGGGTAAGAATCCACCCATTTTTTTCGCCATATAGCATTGTGATATATAACGACTTATGGTTGGTAGCTTAGCTGATTGGAGAATATAGAGTTTATTGATAACATGAAGGTAATTTATATTTTAGTTTTTATTGGTTCACTATATAGTACTGTGAATAGCTCAGATGTGTAGTCATTTCTGTGACCAGTCACTAGCAAATCACCCAGTTATTTCAATGCTAAATTCGCCTAGTTATTTCAATGCTAAATTCTCCTGTTTGATTTGTACTAAGTGCCTCGGTGAATGTGTATGCTCTGACTTCAACGTAGCTATTTCTGTAGCAGTTACAAGCGAATCACTCAGCCATTTCAATGCTAAATTCTATGCTAATCCCATTGTCAAGGGGTGCCTCTGCGGATGTGTATGCCTTAACTTAGCTATTTCAATGCTAAATTCTATGCTAATTCCTTTTAACAATGGGTGCCTCTGCGGATGTGTATGTTTTAACTTTTAACATAGCTATTTCTGTGACCAGTCACAAGCTAATCATTCAGCCATTTCAATGCTAAATTTTATGCTAATTCCTTTGTCAAGGCTCCTTGTTCCTCTCACACAGCTTAAAAGCCGTGATATGAACGTGGCTCTCTCACTCCAGCGCTGTCCTACCAGACAGTCTCACCCCCTTCACCCGATGAAGGCCGCTTGTGTTGTGGCCGAAACGTCGTGAGAATATTATTGTGTTATTTTATTTTATCAATTTATTATTTTATTCTCATTCTACGTGACTTTACCGAAAGAACCAAAGAAGAAGCCAAACATACTTCACCAGGATCTCTCATCAAACTTAAACCATTTTTAAAAATTTATTTTACCAGGTAAGGCCCACTGAGTTGTACAGCTCATTCGCAGAAGCGACCTGGCCACAAATGGTAGCTCAACGAAGTGGCTTATCGCGTGGACATTTACAGCAGCGAAATACTCTTGAGAGCTTGTTTCTAAACACGGAGAGATAAAAAACGGAAGATCCGGAGATAAATCTGCGCGGCCACGGAGAGAACACGCAAACTCCAATAGACAGGCTTAAGGGTCGGGATCGAACCCACGCCGCCCGTCCTGTATACCAGGCGAGGGAGGTAACATCCCGACACCGTGGCACCCCTATCTTTGACGCCCAGGTAAGTGACTTACTGTCGGTTAGAACTGAGATCTCTTCTGAGTCGGCACACACCAAGTCGAGCGGGGTCCAAGCGCAGACTACGATGTCGTAGTGCACCCACAGGGAGAGGACATCTGTGAGGTTGCAACTCGTCTTTCTGGTCCTGTTGCAGCCATCCTTGACGAGCATCGACTCATTGTAATATTTCTCGTAACTTCTGTTCACACAAAGGCACACACTTTTCGTCCATCGGTTGATGACAATAGCCGCGCAACGATCTCGTCGTACGTATTTACACATTTCAGCCTCGGCGGCCGGGTATGTGAGGTCGTGTGTGTGTGTGTGCCATGTCCGGACTTTGTCATCATCATCATCATCAGCATTATCATCATCAGCACAGTCAAGCCAAGGCTGAAGGCCTCCCCCACCAAGCCGTTCCTTTGCCACCACTCCGTCATTATCCTCGACTATCGGCCTTCGTCCCTTCTAGCCGTGACATGTCCTGCCCATGCTGACTTCTCGCAATGCTTCAAACGACGTCATCAATCTCGATAAAAAAAAGAAAACTAGTTGCTTTAGAACTTCTTTTTGCGTTTAGTTTGTCGCGTCTTGATTTGAAGCTTTCGTGACTGCATATTCTTTGGTGCTTTCGGTAAAGTCACGTAGGTATAAAATCAAATCAAACGAATCGCGACGTTTCAGGCGCAACACGAGCGTCCGCCACCTGATGACCGAATGACGGACGCTTGTGTTGCGCTCGAAACGTCGCGATTCGTTTGATTTGATTTTATACCTACGTGACTTTACCGAAAGAGCCAAGGAGTATAGTTTGCTATAATTCCCCCCGCACCTCCGATTAGCAAAGTTGGCTACGTACGGTGCGAAAGAAGTTAAGCATACACACATACAACCAACGTGCGTTTCTCAAATCCATTGTCTGCTCTCTGGTCAATGTAACTCGTGTCTGTCGATATAATTCTGAGCACGCATCTCTCCACGGTTCTTTGCATGGCTTTAATCATCTTTTTTTGAGTGTTTGTAATGACCCCGTGGTTCTGAACCAACCGTACACATGTACGTATGACACTTTTCCAGGAGGGTCCTGCCACGATTGTCGCAGTAAGGAGGGGGGCGACGTTGCTCGGCGTGTGATCCCACTTGAGTAATTTTCAGTGTAATTTGCTTCTCCGTTATACGGAATGCAGTGAACCCATGCCCTTGGTTGCCTCAATCGTCTCACACCACTGCCGTTGTTCTCTTTGGCACTCGTTTTTTTATATACGTACGCACGTTGAACTTCTTTCGCACCGTATGAAGCCAACCGTGCTAATCGGGGGGTGTCCGTGTCCTGACTTACCCTCTGTAATACACCGAGTAGAGCTGATCAGCTGGCGCCCCATTGCCCGGTTTCCAGCTCACCGATGTTATTAAATTTACCGACGTCAGCACAACGTCACGCGGGCGGGCCAGGGCACCTTCTGAAACAGACCCCACCCCCCCCCCCCCCCAAAAAAGGCACAATTTTTGTTAAGCTACGGAACATGAGGCTGGAAACTCAATTCCAGGAAGTTGAACAAATAACAAAAAATATTCCAGCGCCCTGTTGTGTGAAAACATAACAGAATTTGCGGAGCCGTTAATGAATTCAAATGCATTATTCCGCACACGATCACGCATGCACCCCCCGATGAATGCGTGCGAGAAGCACGCTTTCAGACAATTTCGTCGTCACATTTGTGCTGGGCTGTACGAACAAGACTTGGCGCGTGTGGGAAACGACATAAATGAGAGCGTAAAAAAAAAACAGAGAGACGAAAATATGATCGGTTCTCGAATTAAATTGCGACCCGGAATTGTGACACAATGCCAACGTGGGAGGGTGGGGGTAGCAGCACTCGTGAAGCCCCGTAAACAACACATCACAGTCATTTAAGAGCCCTTCATTAATCCACTGCTGGATGAAGGCCTCTCCGCGATGGTGTGTCGGCCATCGTGGGGGTTGTTCAATCATACTTTACCACAATGGTCAAATTCTGGTTTGTAACGAGAAGCCGACTCAAGGGTTAGCTAAGGGGAGCCGAAACGGTTCAGGTTATTGGCCGCTAATGGCGTTAGACGTGGCCAACAATCGAATCCTGGTTGTTGTTGTTGTTGTTTATTAGAGTGCAGTACAACCGTACTGTTTTGTTCACGTCACCGCAACGAAAATCATCAACAGAAAGGACATCTCGCAGTCATCCTTTCTAACCTGCAAAGAGTCCATTAATATACCAAGTTTATATTTCAGAGGCGCAAAAAAAGGTGCACAAATTAGGTCCATAAAATAAGAGAATGGACATACAAGACACATTACAAAAACAAGTTCACGCTGTCACGAGTAGAAAATCTCAAGGCGTGCTCAAGGTTGACACGGAGAGCGAATGGATTTGAAATACAGTCGCAAGAGAGCTTTGTGAAAGGCGATGTATCCGCATGTATGCGTCGCTTAAAACACGTAATGGGGATTTGCACAAAACACGCAAAACTTTACAAATTACTGCACGCTTCACGGCTTCGACAGCTTCGGCACTGCACCCTTCGCGGGCGAGTCCACGACTTCGTGGCTGAGCAGGCAACATTGTAACACTGTACGTGTGCATTTAGTCCACTGCTGGATGAGAGCCTACCCCCCTGTGCCGTGTGGGTCAGAGCGCTATGGAATCTTACGCCGCGCTTTTCCGGCACGGGTTGGCAAATGCCGGGCAGCGCAGACGTGGGGGGGGGCATAGTAGAACGGCCGACGGTGCAACGATGCGCCGCTCACAACGTGGCGAGCCACCTGGGATAACCCGGTGTGCGTGATGGTTGCCCAATTCGTGGCCTGCCCAGGGCAATGCCGCCCCAGCTTACGCGAAAAGCAACGCTAGTGGGTGCATTCTGGGGGATTCCGTCAAAGGCAGTACAAGAGCAGTGCGTACAGGTATTGTATAGCTTTGCATATACTGTATTAAAATCTATATTTGAATGTTTGCCACTGTGAACCCTTCTACAGTACATGAAAAGCAGCTGTTAGCCTTATGCGGAAAAAAAAAAATCTGCATTGCAGCAAGGTTCCCAGTGACCAGAGGGTTTTTTTGTGTAATTCCCCATGATGCATTACGCAAAGGGGGCAACTCGGTCATGGTGAACAAAGCAATCTTTGGATACATGGCGTTGTCTAGATATTATCTGCAGGAAAGGAAAATAAGTAATATTTTTTAAAAACTTTTAAAAAAAAAAAAACACGCTTTAATGAAATGTACCCTACTAGTAAGGTAAGAACTCCACGACTCCAAAAAAGTGGCCCCGAAGCTTGCCATAACGTAAGGGGGGCCGTGGCCAATTACAGCCAACGTCAGTTGAGCGTGGACAATTAGACCCAAGCCAAAACATAACATATACAATTTTTTTTTAATATATGATTTATATTTTTACGATAGAATATAGTATTGTCATGAGTATAACATAACTATACCAAGTTTGAAGTCGATACCACATTGGGAAGTGTGTTAAATTTGAGTTACAAGATTTGAGGATACAACAACAACAATAACAAGAGTGAGTTAAATGAAAGCGTGTCATAATAAAAACACACACACACACACACCTCTTCCTGTGACTGCGACCTACCGTGAGCCGCCCAATACGTGCGTTCGTCGGGCTAAAACGACTCCAACCGGCCGGCTCCGCCAATTTAAACGAGCGAGGGAGTTGTTCGAAAGCTCGCGAACGTTTCATTTGCAAGGGGGGCGAGGCGGAACACGCCGAGGGCTCGGCTCAATTGAGCTGCGGCGTTTTGAAAAGGCGCGGCGCAGGACACCAGCCTCGCTTTAAAATCGTGTACAGATAGGCATGTACAGATAGGCATGCACAGATAGGCATGTACAGATAGGCATGTACAGATAGGCATGTACAGATAGGCATGCACAGATAGGCATGTACAGATAGGCATGTACAGATAGGCATGCACAAATAGGCATGTAAAGATAGGCATGTACAGATAGGCATATACAGATAGGCATGTACAGATAGGCATGCACAGATAGGCATGTACAGATAGGCATGCACAGATAGGCATGTACAGATAGGCATGTACAGATAGGCATGTACAGATAGGCATGTACAGATAGGCATGCACAGATAGGCATGTACAGATAGGCATGTACAGATAGGCATGTACAGATAGGCATGCACAGATAGGCATGTACAGATAGGCATGTACAGATAGGCATGTACAGATAGGCATGCACAGATAGGCATGTACAGATAGGCATATACAGATAGGCATGTACAGATAGGCGTGCACAGATAGGCATGTACAGATAGGAGCAAGGGGTGTGCATGTGCGGAGGCAGAGGTGATGCGAAACTCAGCAGGGGTTCGGCTCACCTGCAATACCCTTGAGTTTTATCTACGGGACTTTTTTTTGCCAGCATCCAAGATTCGCCTTTCGGCGTTCTCTGACACTCGTGAGACTAGGTCATGAAGAAGGCTGTCTCTGGTGTAGCCTAATCCGTTTCAAAGACGATGCCCATTTATTATCAGAGCACGTTTGTTTGCATGTTTTGCCACAAGTACTATGTGGTTCGTGCAGACTTGATGCCTTGCAAAAAGGTACCTATTTTGTATTTGAACATCTTAACACCTGTTTCATTGTACAGATGTAGTAACAACCTACTCTTATTTTTTTCCATCACCCTTGAGTGTGCCGTGCATCGTCTGTGTAATGTGGCCGCGTACATGCGGCGGCAACTAGGAGTCACTCGACGGAGGAACACGTGTAACGAGAAGGGAGGAGCACTTATTACGGGATAACTTACACGCACTTGGTGAATGTACTAACACCACGGATATCCCACGACCAGCTCAGCACTGTCTAAAAAACACATATCCACGGTGGAAAGATGATTTCAAGAAACAAAAGAAATGAGCAGCAATGGGCTCTCCTTTGTACACAGCAGACTTTGAAGCAATAGCTTAAAGCACACTAAACTCCTCTGTTTGGTTTGATGTGTGGATGACACATTGGTGGTCTGGCCACAGGGTACAGATACGCTTCATGTATTTCTAAATCTACGCAACTCGCAGAACCCGTCCATCCAGTTCACAGCGTAAATGGAAAGCAAACGCACACTGGCCGCCTTTCACCCTTCACCCCCCCCCCCCCCCCCGCACAGAAATCCTCTCTCATCAAGACGCTCATACATCGGGATCAGATAGTGTCAGATGGTGAAAGCCAGAGGAGTGAGATTAAACATGTTAAAGAAGCGTGAACGGTTACAATGACGCACAAATCAACAGGGCTCTGAATGCTAAAACCAAATCAAACAGCAGAAGCGTTGAAACTGATTAAGCAATTTAAACTATTAAAATAGCTTACATTACGGAAGCAACTGACAAACTAGCCAGATTTTTGGAAAAACAACACATCCGGGTGAGATTTGACACGGTACATAAAATGCCAAAACTAATGTCTATTACTAAAGATGTATTACCGAAGCTATCAACAGAAGGTGTGTACCGGATTCATTGCTCCTGTGGCAAATGCTATTTTGGTTAGACAGGATGAATGATCAGCACGAGACTAAAAGAACACGAAAGGAACATTAAACACTCCCAAATGAAACTGTCGGCAGTGGCAGAACACACGTGCCAACAAGGAGACTCAATGGTTTTGATAAAGTTGAAGTTCTGTGCAAAACTAGTTCCTACTGGCCGAGACTAATTAGATAATCAATAAAAAATACTTTAACCATGTCTGATAGCTATAGGCTTAGTGCTGCTTGGAAGTTTTTTTTTTCAGTTTCAGTTTAATTTATTTGGTATAGCCCCTGTGAGTCATTCGGTGCTTGAATCGGGTGCAACCGCAACAAACAAAAAAACACGAACAAGAAAAACATCTTAAAGTGACTATGTGTGACTGTGCAAACAGAAAGTCCAGGAAAAAACACGGCAAAATATTCCTGAAAAAGCACCGTACACCAACGCTGCGTGCAAAAATCCCAGTGGGATGCAAGTCATACAACAACAACCACAAGACAACTTAGATTAAGGCCATCAGTCTAACTCCGTACTAAGTGAATTGACTGCAAATGGAAGTGGTGATTAACTGTGAACAGACAAGAACAGGTCTTGTGATTGCTTGCACCAAAGAGAATGGAGGATGTACATGCACGGTGTGAATGCATGATATATGTTGATGACCCTATGAATAACCCCAACCGGTAATGGATACCCATTGTACAGTAAACCCTTATTCATATTCTTTGTAATATGAACAAGGGTTTACTCAGTACATTGGAACTCCCCAGTGCCTCCTGCCCCAATAAATGATGGGTGTTTTTTCTTCAAAATTTATTTTCCAAACATTATTTTCCAAAAACAAGTAACCAGCACTGCAGGCTAAGCAGGAAGATGCGGTATGTTCCGTGTGGTAGGTGATGGAGTTTGTGGAGGGGGGCTTAATGTACTTCGTATGCACTTACTGTACTGTATGTTCACTTTGGCACTACATTTTCACTTCCACATCAAATGACACTCCACTTAAACGTCAACATTTTTCACTTAACAATTAATGTTTACTTAAAGGCATTATTTTTACACCACATGACTGGCTGCCAGACGACATCAGCTGCTGTGGCACTTCACTGCTCACAGAGGTGTCCTGTGGGAAAAAAATATCCTTGATCTTCCTGTGCACCTTTTTGGAGCTGCTAGGATCCTCCAACGTTCAGGCGTTGGAGGATCATCACAGGCACCACCACGAGGCTGACTCATTGTTTTTGGTCATGTCGAAATTGGACCATTCGGTCCGCCAATTCGGCTCATGGCGAATTACTAATCCTGTATATATCCTGAAAGCGCAGTCGTGTTCAAGTATCCCCAATTACGAAGTATCAAATACGGAAATAACGAGGTTTTATTGTAATTTATATGTATACATTAACCCCCCCACCCTCTGGCCTTCCCACCTGATTGGCTCACAAGTGACGCCATCACATGTTGCCCTCTATTTAAGACCGGAGCAGGAGGATTTCTCTACAACGCTGGCTGTCCGCATGATGATGCTGGTTGTAATTACTGGCGAAACGGCGTACTCGAATTGAAAATGTTATGGATTTACTCTACACTACACCGGTGTGCTGAACTAGTAACACATTTGCATGTTTTGTTTACGTGACAGAGCCTCCTTATTAGCTGTGTCGGGTGGTGGCGGGTTTAACGACACATTTATATTTATGCGATCTAACCAAAAAAACCTCTATTATGGCTAATATTGGTCGCGAAAGCCTACGCGTTAAAACGTATCAAAACCTATCAGTCCCATAGATGCGGTGATTGACTCCCGTCCATCCCCACGCCCGGTGATTGTTAAACACGGCCCACGTGAACGCGCTCAGCAATTGGCGCCTACCACATGATTGGGCAGCAGAAAGGTAGTGTAGCAAAACCAATCGTTGTGCTGTACTTTTATGGTCTCGCGTAGGTACTCCCCACCGTTGCCAACCCACAATGACCAGCGCCGTGAAGTGTAGATGTCTACGTGGCCCCCATGAGCTGCACGGTTTTCAGAGGCCCTCATCCAGCAGTGGATCAACAAAAGGGGCTCTACATGTACACTGATGTACGTTACAAAGTGACCCACAAATAGACACGGATGGGTATGCGTCACGTACACGTACAAATCATGGATAACAGGATGAATTCGGCGCCTGCAATTCCTCTTATCCGAGCTGTGGAAAACGAGAGATAACTTGCATATCTTTACGGATAAATGATAACAGACCACAGCGATAACAGGAGTCACGGTTTTCGGGAATACTAATAGGTGAAAGTGGACTATACTCACCACTCGAAGATGCTCGCTGGACAAACGGCAGCATACACAGCAGCAATGTGAAGCCACAAAAGGTCTTCTTCGCATTGAGATTTTGAGGGTTGTTTTTCGCAGAGAAATCCATCCCCTCGTTTTCGTCGTCTTCACAGGCTGTGCGAATAAACACAATCGCAGAAACATTGCCACAACAGCTGTTCACAACGTATGCCCTATGGTTGATTACACGTGCTTCTGATTTGTCAGGCAGTGCCAGCGGAGCCGGGTCAAGGCCTGTCCCCTCTTACCGCGACAGCACTGCCCATCACAATGACTGGGACGCCGCGGTGGCTAGGAGATGTTAACTACCTTGCCTGGTATACAGGATCTAACCCAGGAGGTCGTGGGTTTGATCGCGACCCTGACGCTTTGCTGTATATTTGGAGTTTGCGTGTCTCTCTCCCCGTGGTCGTGTGGATTTTTATCCGGGTCCTCTGGTATTTGGCTTGGTTGAGCTATCCTTTGTGGCCAGGTCGCTTCTGAAAAAGAGCTATACAGCTCAGTGGGCCTTACCTGGTAAAATAAAAATAGTTAATAGTTTTAGTTTTTAGACTGGCTTCAGAAATGCCCATTATCAAACCACTCAATGTCAACGATGGTTATGAATATCCTCAAGCTAATGATGAACATATTAATATATTTATTACCATTGGGGTTTTCTTATCACCAGGCTGCACGCTTTTCATAGGTTCTCCACTGCATTTGTTTTGTCTGTTTTAAATTGTATTTCCATTTGTACCTCTGTACAGCAACTTTGGAAGGTGATATACCGGTGTACATTATCATTAATACCACCATCCGCCAAGAACCGGAGCATCACGACCTTTGGCAAAAATACATTTCGATTCCGAATGAAGACGCAGGTCGAGATAAATTAGTCACGCTACTAGAGACTTCCAAAATTGGTAATTGGCTATATATGTAAATAAAGACATGTACTGAGATCACTCAATTGGCTGACCTGACACTGGGTGGGTGGGTGGGGGCTAATTGCTTACCCCTTACAAGAACGTTTTCTCACTCAGGGTGGGTTCAGTGTTTTGACTGCTTTTGGTCAACTGGACAACATTGTAACAATTAAAGGAAATCCACGGACTCAGACTTGCAATACATAGGAAACAGCACCGAGTGATAAACGGCTGCCCACAACGTGTCCTTACTCGGACGTCACAAAAACACCTCCACAAATGACAGTGCCTCCAAAGCAACAACGTGTCTTGCGCTACGCTGGGCATCAGGCGTGGCCCACTCGGCTTCCATCGCTATGTTAACAACCATGCACTGGCTCCCCCATCAAATCGAGGACATGGCACAAAACCACCATCCTGTGCCACCGAGCTGTCACTCTCAAGGTCTCCCCGCCCCTACACTTCTCTACCCTTCTCACTCCACTGGACCACGGCACACCGCCGCGTCCTACCGAGCACGTCCAACAATCTGCTCATCGTACCCAGAGCCAGGACCATCCGTGGGGGAGTGGCGGTTCTCCGTAGCTGCACCGGCAGTCATCTGCAACTCTCTCCCACTGCTGCACACCCGCAGCGGCATCCAAGCACCATGATCCACCTTCAAGCAGCAACTCAAGGCTCTCACCTGTCCATACTCTCACCTGGTTCAGGCTCTCAGCTGGTTCAGCCTCTCAGCTGGTTCAGGCTCTCACCTGGTTCAGGCTCTCAGCTGGTTCAGCCTCTCAGCTGGTTCAGGCTCTCACCTGGTTCAGGCTCTCACCTGTCCATACTCTCAGCTGGTTCAGGCTCTCAGCTGGTTCAGGCTCTCAGCTGGTTCAGGCTCTCACCTGGTTCAGGCTCTCACCTGTTTCAGGCTCTCACTTGGTTCAGTCTCTCACTTGGTTTAATGTCTCACCTGGTTCAGGCTCTCAGCTGATTCAGGCTCTCACCTGGTTCAGGCTCTCACCTGTTTCAGGCTCTCACTTGGTTCAGTCTCTCACTTGGTTCAGTCTCTCACTTGGTTTAATGTCTCACCTGGTTCAGGCTCTCAGCTGGTTCAGGCTCTCACCTGTTTCAGGCTCTCACCTGTTTCAGGCTCTCACCTGGTTCAGGCTCTCAGCTGGTTCAGGCTCTCAGCTGGTTCAGGCTCTCAGCTGGTTCAGGCTCTCAGCTGGTTCACTCTCACCTGTTCAGACTATCGTACGAGGACTCTAAACTCTGGCTCCGTGCCTCCGAGATCTTAAAATCGAACGATGCGTTCTGGTTCATGAAATGTGTGCTATAAAGGGTTTATTGTTACAACCAAGGCAGATCAGTGCTTTTCTACAACTTTACTTTATTGTGTTGAAAAATCCCTGCGTTGTTGACTATTGTCAATTACGGCAGGAAAACCCAGCAGTATTTATTACACAAGCCACACCCTGCTGAACAAGACCCGGAGAAAATTAAACTGATGTTGATTTATCTGCTTAAATAAATGCTACCGGGAAATTGTTCCTCACAGCCCATAGGGTGGACCTGCATTGTTCCAGACAGCCCGTAGGGTGGCCCTGCATTGTTCCAGACACCCCATAGGGTGGACCTGCATTGTTCCAGACACCCCATAGGGTGGACCTGCATTGTTCCAGACACCCCATAGGGTGGACCTGCATTGTTCCAGACACCCCATAGGGTGGACCTACATTGTTCCAGACACCCCATAGGATAGACCTACATTGTTCCAGACACCCTATAGGGTGGACCTGCATTGTTCCAGACACCCCATAGGGTAGACCTACATTGTTCCAGACAGCCCGTAGGGTAGACCTGCATTGTTCCAGACACCCCATAGGGTGGACCTGCATTGTTCCAGACACCCCATAGGGTGGAGCTACATTGTTCCAGACAGCCCATAGGTTGGACCTACATTGTTCCAGACACCCCATAGGGTAGACCTACATTGTTCCAGACACCCCATAGGGTAGACCTACATTGTTCCAGACACCCCATAGGGTAGACCTACATTGTTCCAGACACCCCATAGGGTAGACCTACATTGTTCCAGACACCCCATAGGGTGGAGCTACATTGTTCCAGACACCCCATAGGGTGGACCTGCATTGTTCCAGACACCCCATAGGGTGGACCTGCATTGTTCCAGACACCCATAGGGTGGAGCTACATTGTTCCAGAGAGCCCATAGGTTGGACCTACATTGTTCCAGACACCCCATAGGGTAGACCTACATTGTTCCAGACACCCCATAGGGTAGACCTACATTGTTCCAGACACCCCATAGGGTAGACCTACATTGTTCCAGACACCCCATAGGGTAGACCTACATTGTTCCAGACACCCCATAGGGTAGACCTACATTGTTCCAGACACCCCATAGGGTAGACCTACATTGTTCCAGACACCCCATAGGGTAGACCTACATTGTTCCAGACACCCCATAGGGTAGACCTACATTGTTCCAGACACCCCATAGGGTGGACCTACATTGTTCCAGACACCCCATAGGGTGGACCTGCATTGTTCCAGACAGCCCGTAGGTTGGACTACATTTAATTTAATTATTTGTCGATGATGCATACACGTGTCTATTAATCGGTAATGTATTAAAATTACAAGACAAGAGGTTTTAAAAAATCTTTTTTTTTTCATAAAAGACATCCTCTCAGTCACTTCCCCTCAATAAAGCATGTTACCCATGAGAGAAAGGGGATCCAAAACCATTCCCCTGTATCCACGGGATCAATAAACAATTTGAACACAAAGCACACACACACACACTTGAGCCTCTCCCGAAAATTCCATTCCCATTCCGTTGTCGGCGTCACGGGACGGAGAACGCGTTCGGGCCTCTCAAACGGCAGCGAAACCCTTCAGATGCTGCAAGATCCGACTACGTCTTTTGAGTGCTCGCTAAGCTGCACTGGCTTCCTGTTGCTCAACGACTACGTTACAAGGTCGCACTCATTTCAAACAAACACACACACACAAAGTCTTCTTCTTCTTCATCCACGCGTTTGTCCCACTCACGCGGGGGTCCGCTGTCCTGGCCACCTTCTCCACACTGCCCTGTCCTGTGCCATCTCTCTTTCCGCTTCTCGCGCCACCATGTCCGATCGCACCACATCGCCCCACACAGACACAAAGTGACTGCCACAAATGAATCACCAATAACCTTGCTGATCTCGGCATAGGAGTATACATGCACGTACGGGCCTAAATGAAGAGTGATTCCCCGCTACTAAAACAAACAGGCCACATTTTTGCCAAATAAATTATCGGACAATGCATCTCCTTCACGTCTCCATCTCTTCATCTCTCCATAAGTATCTTCTGTTACACAACCCATCGGCCATACTGCGTCCTTCCGGGAGTGCACACTTTCAACAGCACTGTTTGAGACAAGCAAACTCTTTATTCATGTCTTGTATCAGCAGATAGGCTTGCCTGAATAAATGCTGGTTAACCGCTGATCGTACAGGCAAGGACCCCTCGCTTTCCTTATGCTAACGGGGCCCATCTGCCCCGGGGTTTGACCCAGATAGTCAGGGCAATGGCATCTGTGTTTGGGTGGCAGGAATTCATCTATGCCGGTATTGCGCTGAACTTTTATTGCAGCAGAACTACCTAGGGCTGACTTGAGAAATACGTCCGCGTGCACGCCAGTGATCCCGGCACTGTGTAGGCGAGGGTTTGTGGATCGCACCGATGCTGTGAAACTCCCTTCCCGTGGGCGTCGAGATGCCTCAACGCTGGCTCGCCAGGAGAAGGAGTTTACAGCAAGTGGAATGATCGCCACCTGTTTCCATCTGTACGGGGATGGAGCGTTGCCCCCTTGAGCAAGGTGTGGGTTTTCTACCGGGTGTTTCAGTTTCCTCCCACAACTACAAACAACTCGTCAGTGATTGGCCACAAACATCTTGGAAAAAAAAAACCAATGTAGCAGGACCCTCCTGGAAAAGAGCCCTGTGACTCAGTGTGGCTTTCCTGGATAAATACATAATTACAGCTAAATCAGCCTAAACTGCATGCTTCCATATCGCATGACCAAATTAACATTCGAATATGCGTACACTTTGGTTACATGAGCATACCAGGAATTGAACTGGCCACCCTCTACACACTGGTTCTGCGGCCAGAGTGCGCTGACCAGTTGGTAGGAGATCCAGCTGC